AAAACATGCCCCCTGATTTTTACCATAAATTTGACGTTTTGCAGTTGTAGCTTAGGCTAGGACGTAGATCCAGGCTCAAATAAGGAGGGGGGATGGGAACTACCGAAAAGGCCACCTCTATTCTCACCCCGAGTGAGAATAGCGCAGGCAAGTCTTTTGGCTATTCTCACCCGGTGGGCATTCACCGTTATAGCCTAGGCCAACCAGTGAAGCGTTCACCCTGAACCACATAATTCTACACTGTGATAACAGTCTAATTATAGAATTCTGTGCTGTGAACAAACGTTCTAGATCTATTACTACTGTTAGTGTTAGTCTAAAAGCGTGCAATTTTGTCTGTGGGCAGTGGAGAGAGAGAAAGAGAGAGAGAGAGGAGTAGCGCGAGAACTTCCGGGCAAAACAAAATGGCGACCCGCGTAGTTTGGCCCGATTCGGAAAGTTCAATAGCCGTAGCATCTTTGTAGACAACCAAATTAATTTTTTGTTTTTTAGTTTAACATCATTTTTAAACTTTGTTTTGGTCAATTTGATCGTCCACACCGATAGATCAGAAAGAGACACAGAGAGAGAGAGAGGGGAGGAGTAGATCTTGCGAGAACGGGCAAAACAAAAGGGCGACCCACGTAGTTCGGCTCAATTCGAAAAGTGAAATAGCCAAGTTGTAAAGCATCTTTGACTTTGAAGACGATCAAATTAGCTTACTTTTGTGCTTTAACGTAATTTTTTCTTGGCTTTTATCAATTTGATCATCCACACCGATAGACAGTATATTCCAAAATGAGGAAAAACAGGTTTTGTTTCACACCGGGTGAGAATAGCCTACGCTGGCAAGTCTCACCCGGGACGGGGTGAGAGTTAGATCGTATTTTAATTTTTTTTATTCTCACCCCGGGTGAGAATACCCACTTCCACCGAAAAAGCGACAGGGTTTCTATAAATTTACCCAATTTTGTCACTAAAAACTGCCGCAAACTATTATTTTGTGAATTTAGTCTCTCCCCTCCTGCAATCCCCCCCTCCCCCTCCTTTTTTTGGGGGGGGAGGGGGGCAGGGGGAGTCCCCTGGCCCTGGATCAAAATCAAGACACAGGATTTTGACTGTTCAAGGACAAGCATTGCCTGAAGCATATATAATATCAAACATTCCGGTAACACCCACCTCCTGTCCAATTCGTGTTGGTGATACACTAGTACTAGCACACGGTCCCTTTGCACCACAGCTTCCAATCCCTCTTCTTTGACCCAGGAATTTTTAGTTCCGAAAGTCTCCAATCTCTACCGTCAGAGTTGAGGCTCTCGAAGGTCTTTTGAGCAGTTTGATTCACTTGTTCGAAAATACAGAACACTCCAGTAACGAAAGGTTCACTCAGCACTCTCTACTAAGATACACTAGAATTGTCTGTGTGACGAAGTAAAGACTCAGCGTCATCAGTTACTTTCAGACACCGCAGCATTTTGGGCAGTCGCCGACTTCAGGAAATGAGGAAGAACTTTTGGTTGGCATCCATGTTTTTGAGCCGATAACGCCCGGATGTTGGTTTCTGGGCATGCCTCATGCCTGGTTAAAAAACAGAAAGTAAAATATTGTGGAAAAATTGTTTTATTTGTTAACCCATATTCCTCAGTAATAATCCTCAGCCCACTGTAAACTTCAGAGAGAGGGAAAACAGAAGTAGTTTGCCCTAGACTAGATCTAAATCTAGATCTATACTTTTTACTTCAACCTGTCACTTGCACTTTTTTGAACTCCTAGACTTATTCGATTTTTTAAAAACCCTTACATTTTAGGACAATGCATGAAAGAATACAAAGGAACTTTTTAAATTAACGGTAACGTGTATTGAACATTATGAGCTTCGAACCATGCATAAATTATTTAGGGACTCATTTTCATTGTTGCTGTTGTTTCTTCTTCTTCTTCTTCTTCTTCTTCTTCTTCTTCTTCTTCTTCTTCTTCTTCTTCTTCTTCTTCTTCTTCTTCTTCTTCTTCTTCTTCTTCTTCTTCTTCTTCTTCTTCTTCTTCTTCTTCTTCTTCTTCTTCTTCTTCTTCTTCTTCTTCTTCTTCTTCTTCTTCTTCCACGTCTGCTCCTATCTAGGCTCCTCGCTCCCCCCTCGCTCCTCCTTCTTTTTCTTTTTCTTCTTCTTCAAATCATCATCATCATCGTTGCCTTTCGAAACCCTGCACCAGGGTATAGGCCACGGACAAACACCTTCCATCTTTCTTCTCTATCCTGGGCTGGCCTCTATTGATGTTATTCCATGTCTTTCCACTTTTCCGTACATTGATTTCTATGATTCGATCTTCTCCAGGTTCCACGCGGTCTTCCCCTTGATCTCTTACCCCTTGGGTTCCAATCCAAAACTTTCTTTGTTATGCAGCTGCCTGACTTCCTGAGAGTATGTCCAACCCATCGCCACCGCTTTCTTCCTACCTCATCTCTGACTAGGATCTGTCTTGTTTTCCTTAACACTTCCACATTGGTGACCCTGTCTGTCCATCTGATCCTCGGTAACTTTCTTAGACACCTGTTCAAGAAAACCTGGATCCTCTTTATGCAAATATGTGATGCGTTCCATGCCTCACATCCATACAACAGGACCGACTTCACATTTGAATTGAAAATCCTCAGTTTTGTTCGAAGTGAGGTATCTCGAGATCTGATCTTCCAAATAATAATAATAATAATAATAATAATAATAATAATAATAATAATAATAATAATAATAATAATAATAATAATAATAATAATAACAATAACAACAATAATAATAATAATAATAATAATAATAATAATAATAATAATAATAATAATAATAATTGCATTTATATAGTGCATATCCATGCTCAAGAGCAAGCGCTTTAAACACTTTACAACTATTATTATCCCAGCAGACCCTCTGAGAACACCCAGAAACATTTTCGGCTTCCGCGGAAGCATACAGTGCAAGCTTCGGATTTCAGGCGCTCAAACACTATCAAACTGACAAAGATCGTTCTCTGTCTATAGCCGGGTATCCATTTCCATTTCCACCTGGATAAAGTGAGAAAAATTTGTCCAAAGTGCCTTTCCCAGAGACACAACGTCGGGCCCATGACGGGATTCGAACCCACGACCTTACGATTGCGAGTCCGAGAGCCTAACCACTAGGCCACCGACGCCACAAAAAAACCCTATCCAAAGATATGAAAGCAGCCGCTGTGCTTTTCCAATTTATTTCAGCACCTATTCCTCCTTCTCTGTCAATTATACTTCCAAGATAGCAGAAGGATTCAACGTTTTCTAGTGCCTTAATCTTTCTATTGTGACCTGCTCCTTTCGTTGTGCATCTGTCCTAGACCTTTGACTTTCCGGGGTGGTTCCTCAATCCAACAGACTCCGAATCGATAGGCTGTTTAATACTGAAGTCTTTGCGTGCATCTGTTCCTGGGTGTGCGACAGAAGCGCAAAGTCGTCTGCAAAATCCAGATCGTCCAACTGTGTCCATGGTGTCCACTGTATACCATTTCGGTGTCCTCTTGGGGTTTTTTTCATCAGCCAGTCGACTGCCAATATGAAGAGGAACGGTGATAATAAACATCCCTGTCTCACACCAGTCTTGATGTCAAAGCTGTCAGTGAGCTGGCCATCATACAGTACAACCCTGCAACTTGTCCTTTAAAATGCTCTTGATGAGGTTCACCAACTTCTGTGGGATTCCGTGGTGTCTCATTATCTTCCATAGTGTTGCTCGGTCTATACTGTCAAAGGCCTTCTCATACTCATAGTCAAGGAAGTTGACGATCAGCTGGGAGTTTCACTCCAGGGACTGTTCCACAATAATCTTCAGCGAGGCAATCTGGTCGGTGGTTGAGCGATTTTTCCTGAAACCAGCCTGTTCATCCCGTAGTCTTGGATCCGTTGCTGTCTTGATTCTCTCCAGATTGATTCTGTTGAAGACCTTACCTGGTATTGAGAGAAGAGTGATCCCTCTGTAGTTGCTGCAGTTGCTGCAGTTGCTGCAGTTGCTGCAGTTGCTGCAGTTGCTGCAGTTGCTGCAGTTGCTGCAGTTGCTGCAGTTGCTGAGATCACCCTTTTTTGGAAGCTTCACGAGGTGTCCTTCTTTCCAATCCTTTGGGAACTTGCTCTCATTCCAGATCCTGGTAAACAGTGGGAGGAGGATGCCTGCCGTCACATTGGCATCTGCTTTTAGGGCTTCATGTGGAATCTGGTCCGGACCCGCCGCTTTACCTTTGTTCGGCTTCTTTTTATGGCATTCAGAATCTCTTGTTTTGAAGGAGCATCACAGCAGATTGGTAACTCATTTCTTGCTGGCAGGATGTTTGGAGGGTTACTCGGTACGGTGGTCTGTTCAGGAGACTATTGAAATGCTCTAACTCTAACCCATCGTTTAGACTGAGCTTCCTTTCCAAAAATGTTTTTCCCCTCTTGGTCCTTTACTGGTAGGCCCTACTTTAGGTTTCCCGTATTTTCCAGCAAGTGTCCTTGTGGTCTGGTAAAGGATTCGCATGTGCCCTCCTACCGCTGTTTCCCCCTGTCTTCTCTGCCAGCCTGTTCATGAAGTCCTCCTTGTCTTTTCTTAGTGATTTCTTGACATCTTTAGCAACCTGCATGGAAAAGCCAGTCGAAGACCAGCTCCGAATGGGATCGGCAGGTCCGGCTCGCTGACTCAAAACAAACGCAGTGATATTCTTCATCCAAGTATAACAGAGTAATTTCTTCTTCTTCTTCTTCTTCTTCTTCTTCTTCTTCTTCTTCTTCTTCTTCTTCGTCTTCTTCTTCTTCTTCTTCTTCTTTGGAAAAGCTTAGGGAAGCTGGTGTCTCAGGGGGTCTTGGAGAGACAGCAACCTGCATGAAAATGCCAGAAAAATTATATTATTATCCAAGCAGCTGATATAAACTGGCACAATCAGCAAGCAGACCCTTTACATGAGGATCCTTGAGATGAGGAGCAGCCAGCTGGCATTGTACCGACTGTAAGATGCCTATATTCTCCAACCAAGAAGTACCGAGTAAGTAATCTTCTTCTTCTTCTTCTCGCCTCCTCCTCTTTTTCTTTTTATTCTTCTCGTCCTCCTCCGCATATTTTTCTCTTCTTCTTTTTCTTTTTCTTCTTCTTCTTCTTCTTCTTCTTCTTCTTCTTCTTCTTCTTCTTCTTCTTCTTCTTCTTCTTCTTCTTCTTCTTCTTCTTCTTCTTCTTCTTCTTCTTCTTCTTCTTCAACGGGAAAAGATGATAATTTGTAGAGGTTTCGGGGGACGAAAATGGCGAATAAATTTGGCTATGAAATTAAATTACCGGAAGCGATTTTTATCGTAAATTATCCTTGAAATCGAGTTCATTAAGTCAAAGTAAAATTCGAATACAAGTTTTGTTCGAGATGAGTTCATAATTTTATAGATCTAGTCGACTTATTTTCAGTTGGGCATGGTCAAAGAGTCTACATAACAAGAGGGGCCACTTCTCTCTTTGAGCCAATTTAAAAAGTGTCCTCAAAATTTGGTGGCGCCCTCTTCGCAAAAGCGCACTCTTTGCGAACAGAGTTATCCTACTTGAGTTTAAAAAATTAAAGTGAAACTAGCAAGTTTTTGAATGAATTTTGGAAGAACGCTTTTTTAAAATGGTTACACTGACAAAAAACCTCTTCCAGAGGAAAGGGTGATTGTTTTCTTCGTTTAATTTGACTTTAGAATGAAAGGCTAGAGGTCATTAAATAAAAAAACAAACAAACTATAACTCCACACTGAACGAACCCGAACTGGTAATGAACAGCAGTCGATCTGCGCACGCAAGGAGGTGCTATTCCTATTCTTCTTCTGGAAAAACGAAAGAGAGCTTCAAAACAGACTGCAGCGCCATCTGAAGCAAAGAGCAAACTTCCTGCGGACACTTTTTTGGCTGAATGGCCCGTCTTGTTATGTACTATCTTTGGTAAAGCTAGTCAATACCAGAGTCTCATCATCTTGATCGATACCTGCCAAGACCTAGACTAGTAGTTGTGCCGAAACTTCCGGTACCTGGCTGCAGTCGGATAGCCTTAGAGTCCAGAGGCCTAGCCTTTGCAAAGGAGAGCTTAGGCCTATATCATCATTTGCTCGTTCCTTATTTTTTTTTTCCTCACATATTGGTCCATTTTTTTGGGTCAAGATTCAAGTAAAGACACCACAATCGTAACGAGAGAGACCCCGTTGGCCGTTGTTCTTCTTTCTAGTGGGTTCACAATCTCATGTCAAGATGAAAATGGCGAATGAAGCGAATCCCATCATTCGCAGGAACAGACCAGGGACGAAAACGAAGGTGTGTAACTGTATACTAGAGTCTAGACTCTAAGTCTAGATCTAGATTTTATCTAGATCTAGAATCTAAATCGGAAGGACTTCCATAAAAAGCGACCACCCCAACAAACACAATAGACAATGGGCTAATATTAACCGTCAACCTGCGGGAGCCGGGTTTATGACTATGACTATGTAGCCCGATAAAAGCCTATTTCGGCACCTCGCCTACGTTCTGGTCCCGAATCAGTGTAGCTCCTGGCTCAGCGCATCCTCTTACGTATCATTCGGGTCCCGAGTCGGATCCCCATTCATGCAGGTCAAGTGTGTGTGTGTCAGTGTGCTTGAATTTGTGTGCGTTTGTGGCTTTCTTCTAGAACCGCTTGCGTTGGTTCGTAATCGAGGCATACGTCTCATTCAAAACATGCCAAGTTGGTAGCTCTAGATGTTCGTCCAATGAAATTATTGATCTAGATCTAGATCTAGAAGAAATTGACCCACTTAGACATGAGTAGCTCGAAAGGATAGATCTAATCTAGATTTAGATCTAGATCTAGATCTAGTCAGGAAACAAGACTTCCATTTTTCTATACACAAAATATTTCAAATAAGCTTGATTTTGTATGAAATGATACTACCTGATAAAAAATAAGCTTGTTTGATAGTTTTGAATACCATTGTGCAGGTACAAAGAACAATTTGAGTGTAAAACATTCGGAAATTGACCTAAATTATCTAGCAATGACAATGAAAAATTAAATTTTCATCCAAATTGCTTAAAAATGGACTTAAAATGAAAATACAGTAAATTCTAAGAACTATGGTTTTTAAATTTTAAAAATCCATTGATAAATAAAAAATTTATTGGGATTTTTGTTTGCAAAATGTTGGAGGACCTTCATATATATATAGGAAAAAATCGCCAAAATGTGGGACATGTTTTGATGTACAGTAGTCTCTGCCTAAGATCCCGGTGCTCGGGAGCAAGGAAAAGCGGGATCTTAGGCGAACCGGGATCTTAACCGACGAACCCAGGGAAGAATCTATGGTGACCCATGTTAAGGCTTACAATCTGTAAAATGGTCTCTATCCACTCTAAAATGAACTGACGTGACCGCTTTGTGGGTTTATGACGTATGGCGAGGAAAGAGTGGTTAACCTTGATGACCTATCACAGGGCATAGTGGGATGAGGCGTGCCATTTTCACTTATTATCCTATCATGAGGCTCAAGATCTACGCTTATCAAGTTGCCCCTCCCCTCCCCCTTACCTGTCGAAAATTTATAGCTTTCCATCTCCCCCAACCGCCTTTGTCGTTACACACCATTACGTTGTGAACACACCAATTAAAATTCAGTCTGTCTCGCAAATTCGGGAGTAGAAACAACTTCTCCAATGGTCAGGGAAGAGTTCACAGTTCAATGTGATCCCGCCAGGAGCGAACGTGTAGGCCCTACCCACCCAATGAGTGATGTAAGTTTATGGGGATAGCTCAGGTGTGAGTGAGATGTTCGAGGAAAACAAACGTGTTTGTCAGTTCACACCCCGGTGTGATCCCGTCTGGGGCAAACATTGTATCGCTTCATCGAGTTTTACAACATGTATGTGATCACATTCACAATAGCAGCTGATCTTTGATGCGACGGACAGTTTATTGATCTCAAATTTTCACTCTTGGTTGATCGGCTGTCCCGCCCGTTTTTTTTTCCCGCAAATTATGATCTGAAATGCGGGATCTTAGCCGAATGTAGACCTTCAGAGTGAATCAGAGCGGGATCTTAGAGGTGACTTTTGTGTAGTATAAATTCTGTTTTCTTAAATCAGCGGGATCTTAAGCGAACCGGGATCGTAAGCGGTGGGATCTTAGGCGGAGACTACTGTATTTTGAGGAAAAACTGTTCATAAGTCAGTAATGAATTGGAGCATATGAATGAAACTTGCCATCTCCATGTGATTTTTAGTGCAGAATCTAGTTCTGCTATCACTTTTTCGATGTCTTTATTACTTTGGATCTTAAAGACTGATATTTGCGTGAAATCGTTTTTACCGCGAAGCGATCACCCCTTCTAAAACTTAGTAAAGCGCTATCGGGAAAGCCCGCGATGGAGTCATCGGTGACCTATTTGGTTATAGGCAGCCAATCACAAGCCGCGTAGCGATCACGCGCCTCTTGCATGCCGGCACCTCGCGTTTGGAATGCGTGATCTAGTTTCCAGATCTAGTGTTTTATAAATGGATGGGTGGTAATTTTAAGTTGGTACGGAAAATCTACTAAACGCAGAGATCTGAAATTTTACAGCAATAAAGAAGACATGTGGGGCTCTTGTGTGGTCGGCGATCAACCCACAGCTCCGCTTAGTTTTCGAACCGCAGAGGAAATTCGCACAAACACGGCAATATATCTGGTTCTAGTAATCGTTCGGGATTGTACGCTGGCATGTCGTTAGTTTAACCTTTCCTCTGGTTGGTTGCCAAGTTTAATTTA